AAAAGAGAAGACAAAGAATTCTGCATAAATTTGTCTTATTTTATTTATTTATTTTTTTCTGGTTTTTTCTTTAACATTAATAATTCTAAATGTGCAGAAAGATACCTGCTAAAACCACCTTTTGCAAAATTTATAAACAACAACAGCTCTTTCTAACACTGCTTTTTCATTGACGTAAGCAACTGCTGCAACGATAAGCAGCAGCAGCCGCAGCCGCAGCTTTGAAGTGCAGTAATTTTTCACTTTAAATCAATTGAACACTCTTTTTTTTTTCAAAAAACCGACTTTTCAAAAGATTACATGAATTGGAATGTTGCCAAAAACAAAACTGATTATCCCAACTATAGCGTTTCCTGGGTTGTCTAAAATCAAGGTATACAAGTGGAGCAAGCAAAGATTCCCGAATTTTATATGTATATAATTAAAACAGAAGTGATGTAAATTTTTTTAATACTATAATGAGAGTGGAGTTTGTTTTTTAGATGTATTGTCTTGCTGACAAAACCCCTCTTCAACATGTAGACCGTAAAACATCGGAACTTTTATATTTATTGTAATAGTAACTTGTGTTTTGAATTCTTTGAGTTTTTTGTGCTTTTTTTTGTGTTCCTTTTTTTTTTTCTGGTTACATACTTCAGCGCAATTGCCTTTTTTTTGAGAGGTTGCGAGATTGAAAAAAAATTTACTATATATATACTTTTTTACTTTTTATATGTGTTTGTAGCTAGAATGGATGGGAATTTTTTCGTTGATTCTTTTAGGTACACTGTTTGCCTGTCTTGTACAGCATGTAGATGACGCTAAATGATTACTGGTGACAGATAAATGACTGTAGTTTAACAATATTTTTAAAAATTATGTTTCAGAAAGTCGCATTTTGTAGCAGAGTAGCACTTTTTTACGCGTGTTAAAATGACGGCAACCCTTACATCTGCGCAACTGGCAGAGCTGTATGTTTTTGCTCTCTTTTATTTGTATATCTACATTTATGTGAGCTTGTGACGTAGAGGGTTTTATAATTTGCGTATATTAGCAGTTAAACAACTGGAGTAGTGTTTTTTGTCGGATAAGAAAGTATTATAATTATTTGTATTTTGACCACTATAGTGTAGTTTAAAATTTTGTACAGTTTATATTAAAATTTTTAGGACAGCAGAACCTGTAATTGGAAGTTGGGCAGAAGCTGTTGAACAAGAAAGTCAGTTAGATTTTTGCATACGTACCTGCCGGACTGAACTGATGTTTTTTTCATTCTACTTTCGTGTTCTTTTTCAGCTTTGGGAAGTCGTTCTGAAGGAACCAAAGATGGAATCAAAACTGTTACTGGTATTGTATCAGATGAGAGTGGGAAATACAAGGTACTCAGCATCATTCTTTGCATTTAATTGAAGAAATTTTATCGTGCAATAATACATTACGATTTTTCGACCTATCATTTGAACAAATTGTCTATTTTTCATTTTATTTTTGTCAGTTATTTTTGGTAAGGTGTTTGCTTTGTTAGAAGTACTTGTTCTTCTTTTTTTTAAATCAGGTTATTACTACCTATAAATTAGTGACGAAAAAAGTACCTCGGGCCGTAGCAGAACGGAAAAAGTGGAAAAAGTTTGGCGCTTGTGAAAAGGAGGGCGCTGGACCGCAAGTCGCCACAACATTTGTAGCCGAAGAAGTTCAAATGCAGTTTGTGCGCAATCGTTTCGGAGAGGTAACATGAATTCCATAAATTGTTTTTGGCTGAATTCTTCTGACAGCTGTTGTAATGGGCCTTGGTTCCAGCAACAACTAGATGCAGGCGAGGAGACGTCAAAGATTAGCGCTGCAAAGGCGACTTCAATAAAGCATTGTCGGTATTGCAAGGTAGCCATATATTGGAGCTGTTTTTGTGAACTCGCTAATTTTCTTATTTTTGTTCTTTACGACGAATTAAGTTTAGTCTGACGACCACTGGTCGGTTGAATGTCCCTACAAAGCTATGTATGTTAGACATGAGGAAGAAAATGCGCTCGAAGCAGGTGAAAAAGATTCGAGGACTGCTGCAGGTCAGTCTTCTGTTATCGTTTGATCCAAATGTCTATAAAAGTTGCGTCGTTTTCAACTGGAGCCCTTGTCTGAATTTAATTACTAAAGCCGTCGTTTAGCAGGTACTCCAAAAGCAGGTGTGTATGTCCCTCCTGGGGCTAGAGACGGCCGAGTTCTAACAGGAGGTACTACGAGATCGGAAGAAAATACATGCAGAGTTACTAACCTTCCAGAAGAATGTGACGAACAAGTATCTGCACCTATTTTTTTTTTGTTACTGCTTACTGTTGCACGCCAAAGCTTTTTACAATGTATTTTCACTGGGTTTAGTAAAAGTTCTTCTTTTTAGGAACTTCGACATCTGTTTAGCCAAGTGGGGTCTGTTACACGTGTTTTTATTGCTAAAGACAAACATACTAGTCGGTCGAAAGGCTTTGCATTTGTAACTTATGAAAGGAGGGATCAAGCAGAGATGGCTATATTAAAATTAAATGGGTACAAGATGGACCACCTTGTTTTAAAAGTTGAGTGGACGAGGCAAGTTTAATTTGTTTTCTTCACATGTAAACACAAACGTTTTAAAGTGTATTAGAACTAATAAGGAATAACATTTTGTATTCTATCATCGCTTTTTGGTCTTCTGTTTCTAAAACGGACAACTGTTTATTTTTTTCAGACCTAACAGCTGAAATATTTATGGTCAATCGTCCGGTCATATCGATTTTTGGTATTTATGGTTTATTGAATTTGGTTGATATGTTAATGGTTGAATGACAAAGGGATTTTTATATCAAATAAATGGCTTACAAGATTTTTTGGTTTTTGGCTAAAAAACTTATCTGTTGGATGTATTGCAGAATCAGTGATTTTTTAGTGCCATTAGGCAATCTCATATATTGGCTTAATTAAAATATAAAAAGGTTAAAATTTTGGTTGCATATATATATCTTTCAAATTACTTATTTCGTGCTTTCTTTCTTCCTCGCTGAGTTGGTAGAGACAAACGGGAGTTTTTAAATTGTCTAGATGGGAGTTCAGATTATCCTTGAAGTGAAAGGAACTTTAAGATTCGGGTGTAACATAAAGCACTAGGCATATTATAGCACTCACTGCTGTATCTCATCTATTTGATTTCTACTAGCAATTGCATTGAATTCGTTGAGCAGTGTTGATTAAATTTCTGCAGTCGTTTGGTTATTCTCGCCAATTTCTAGAGGGTTTCTGCCGCCCGTACTCTCATGGGAATAGTATTTTTTAAAATGCATGGGTTTTCACTGTGTGGGTGCATCATCGTTTAATTGGAGTTATTCTGATGCTGAACGTGTTTCCGTTCGGTTTTTTCAGTCGGGACTTCTGAGGTGATATTACAGTGAATTTATATGAATGAATTGTTTTGTTATACCATCCCTTAATTTTGTTGCTGTGATGCTGCAGTTTTCATGTGGTTTTGATTTATGGCTTATATTATTTTCTCTTTCGTTAGTGGGTTGCTGCCGAGGAGTATGGATTAAAATATGTGCTGGAAGGTTTTGCTTTTTGGAAAGAATTCTTATGCATTCATTTATCATTCGTGTGTGTAGGAGTTTGCTTAGGTTCCAAGTCCTCTCTTTACGTTTCGGTTTTTGTTGCGGGCGTATGTCTTAACTAACGTAAGCTATTCTGTTAAACTTTTAGACGGCTGCATTTCGGTTTTGAAATGGGCCTCTTAACAATACTAAAAAAACAAAGGCAAAAAGAAAAAGAGATGAGAATATTAATTCTTGGACTCGATAATGCCGGAAAGACGACAATCCTGAAGAAATTGAATGGTGAAGACATAGACACTATCTCACCTACGTTGGGTAATCGTATTTAGCAGATAAATTGGCAGTAACCGTTTATAGTTATTCCAGTTTTTTTGTAGAAAAGTAACGCTAGTCTTCCATCTTGTCTTTGCATACAGATCCGAGGAAAGTACTTTTCAGGATTCAACATTAAAACTTTGGAATACAAAGGATTTAAATTGAATGTTTGGGACGTTGGAGGGCAGCGAAGTTTGCGCTCTTACTGGAGAAATTATTTTGAACAAACTGACGGCTTGATATGGGTTGTAGACTCTACCGACATTGACAGAATGGAAGACTGCAAAAGAGAACTTGGAGTTCTCCTAGTATGGGTTTGAACAGAATTATCTGCAGGAAATATTTGGCTTTTCTGTCATAGGTTTCCAGAAACCTTTTGGTTAACAGCTGTTTTTAAAGTCCTTTAGAAAATAAATAGTGCTTTTGACATGACACGCTGGAAGAAATCTGATTTGCCGTAAACTAACCAATCATTTAGCTTTCCTATTTTTTTAAAGGTAGAGGAGCGCTTAGCTGGGGCATCTTTGCTTGTTTTGGCTAATAAACAAGACATAGCTTCCGCGGCAACCACTGAAGAAATTGAGGAGGTACTGCTTTGTACAAATTGCTTTCCATTAATTTAAAAACTATATAAATTGGAACACAACCTTCTAATCTCGGAGTGGTTATCAATGTATTTCAAAATTCACTTCAGATTTGAAAAGTGAGTTGTTTGAAAAAATTTCCAGTTTTCTTGTACTGGACTTTACATGTATCTTCATTCAGCTGTTGAATCTTCGAGGACTTAAGACACATCACTGGAAAATTTATCCCAGCAGTGCAGTCACAGGTAAAAATTTGGTCGAGTCTATTGACTGGATATGTGGAGATATCGCTTCGCGCATTTTTACGTCAGATTAATTCAATTCTTTTGAAAGTTTTTTGCTTTAATTACTCTGAAAGCTGTAAAATACTACTCGCTTTGCTTCAGAAATTAGTGGATCACAAATTGATGTTTTGTGATGTTTTTTGCTAAAGAGTGAACGCTTTTTGCCTTTTATTTTAAGATCAGCTGAATAACTAGTTACGTCGCCGGTAACTGCGGCTGAGTCAAAGATCTCATAGATTTTTTCTGTCTGCTTTTATATACTATTTCTTTCCTGTATTTTTAAATACTAATCTTTATCTACATCTACTTTACTGCCTGAGAAATTCTTTTTTTTTTTTTTGTTGTTGTTTTTTTTATAAAATAGCAGCTTTTGGAAGATGGCAGAACTGGTGTGAGGTCCATTTAACCAAAGAAGTGCCTGGTTTTGCAGAGCTTATTAAAGGCTAGCGAAAGAATCGACTTGCTAAATTTTACGTATAGTTGATTAGTTGCCCTGCTAACAGTAAATATATAAGTTTTGTCTTGAATTCAAGCCTTGCAGTGGAGGAAATTTTTTGGATGAATGGTTGTTTCACCTGCTGTGTCTATTGTTAACTGCCGTATTTACTTTGTATGTTTATTGATCCTGCTCTCAACTCTCAGAATGGCACTATTTATTTAATAAGCCTCATTTCGCGATTGTTTAACAGTGGTCAAGAAGTACCACTTATAAAATTTTTATTGCCAGTTTGGCCTTGTTGGGAGTGAGCGAAGGCGCTGCTGGTTTGGGGGGTTAAAAGTGCATAATTTTTGGCCACTGACGAGCTTTGAACAAACGCATATCAATCATTTTATATGTGAAGATACAAGTTTTTAAGAACTGTTTCAATTTTTGTCATTTTTATTGTTTATGCAGTTTTCCCACCGTAAATAAATTTTTAGAAAATCGAAGTTCACAGAGATGTTGTTAGGTCACCGTACAGAAGGGTCATAAATTTAATGTTGAAGTCAAAAATGATGTTGATGGTCTAAAGAAGCCTTCAAAATGAATTTGAAATTGATAAGAGCCGTTGTTATAGAGATACAAAAGTCAGTTATTGTAGCGGTTGAAATTGTCAATAAGGACATGATGGTTTGACTTCGGAGATCAAATGGAATTTATTAGCATTCGCTAAACCATATGAGATCACATTTGGTGATAAGCTACAGACATCTAAATGCCAAAAACACGAGTGTAAAACAGATTAAAGCATTTTTCATGATTTTCTAAACTTGTCAGTACTTCAAATACAGTAAAACTGCGCATTCATTCCCCATTAAAAACAGTATACGTTTCTTTGCTCTACAGTATAAGGAGTCTGTTTACCCTCTTCACACTGATAACAGTTAGTGCAAGAAGCAGCTAACTGCAAACCTGTTCATTAAGCCCAAGCTAAGTTTAGCTTCCCTTTCTGCAGACAGTGCTTCTTCAAAAGACTGTTGCACGTCAAATGAGTTTTATAAATAAAAATGGGTTGTTATTTAAAAATGCAGTAATCTTTTCAATGTATCAAAAACTTCAAAAACTCCAACCACAAAACGGTCCTGTAGTTTGTAACTAAACTATTACTACAGTGATAGGACTGACGTACACCGCAGGACGTCTGGGTAATCAAGTAATTCAACTACCTCCAATTCCATTTACTGCTATAGCTTGCAGAAAAAATAGACTGCTCTAAAAACATAATGGGTTGTAAAAATAAGGGTTAATGGAGTAGTTTGGATGTGCACACTTTGAAAATTAATAAATTTTCTTAACTTTCCAACCAGTTACACTATCATTTAAAATAACCTGACACGTTAATAAACTGGCAATCCGTTATGTGTAAAGACTGCAAGGTGTCTGGCATAAAGTAGGAAAAAGATTGGCTTAAACGTTGTTAGAGATTTTAAACATATTCTATTTAGAGCACGATTAATTTTGACAATATTATTGCGACACAGTGTCAGACTTAACATTGTTCGTCAACAAAACTCTATAACATCTTTCGTTTTAACCTTGCCCATCAATCTTGCATACCAGTTTCAAATTATACTGAAATTCTTACGCAAATTCCAGCAGGTGTAAAAGACTATATGGCCATAAAATAAAAAATGAAGAATTTAGGAAAAATAAGAAATTTCAAGCTAGTCGACAATAATTTTGGTACTATTTGGGCTCAAAACAATCTTTGGAAGCCATAAAAGTAGAAGAAATCATAACATTTTGACTGAAACATCAAGTGATAATTTATAAAACTATAAGATTTATAAATATATAAATATATATATATATATATATATATATA